CAATGCACTAACACAGCATGCATGTAATGGGACGCAATCACATGCGGTGAAATTTCAGGATCAAATGAATGTTTTAGGGGAGGATGCAGCTATTAGGTTTCAATTGCACCCGTTTCACGCCTCCAAAGCCATTTAGCTCAACTAATGAGCAAACATATAGGCAAAGAATAGGACATCCAATCAAGACATGAGATGTCTAAATGTACCAAATTGGACTATAAGAAGGTCGGTTTGAAGCTGGCCACCTTTCTTGGCTTTATGTTTTTGATGAATTATCGTTAACCATGGTGTCTTGCTCTGACGATGTCCGTCACATGACGGACGAAAGCTCAGCAAGGATTCGTCCGGATTGCAGGAAGGTGCGCCGAGGACCTAATCGCACAAATCTACAAACACAGCTCCAATGCACCCCCCCAGCCTCCAATGGAACCAACTTACGAATCCCTTCCACTTCCATGTAAGGTAGATACGAAATGAAGGTCCCCTTAACAAAATGAAAGGTACTCCAACATCAATGAGCATTCGAATTTGAAGGCCTTCCTGGTCATGCAATCAGGGATATGGTAAACTCAGTAATAGCGGGGAATATTGCCCCACAATGATTTCCACGTGAAGTCCGGAAAAGACGACATGAGTTGAATGAAGTGGATGGTTGAGTGGTAGTACTGATTAGGATCAGGAAGCTGTATAGAGTGCATCTCAACATAGTTTTGAGTGCAATACCACTCTATTAAAACCTCTTGAAGGTGCGAACTCTTTGTAGAGAAAGTTAAATTGTCCACATAAAGTGAGATTGAGGAATGAGGATAGAAAGCTGGTAGCTAAGACAGATGTGAGGGAGCTGCCAAGACGGTTGCCGTTTATCGCTAACAATTTCGAACATGTAGTCTGTGAAGCGTGAAAATGTACCGAATTAGTGGCCTGATGCTAGAAGCCTTCATTACTTTGGAAGTGGGTTGATGACTGAACATGTTCTACATTGTCTCATTTATCCTGACCAAGTTACGAAAACTAGATCCTTATCTACCGAACTTTCATCTCGTTTGAGGAGTTTAGTGGAAATGTCTGATAAATTAGCCTTCCCGGAAGCTAAAGGAATTACTTAGAGTTTCAAATATATTGATGCTCGAAGAAGCCTGTGACATACGACCCCGATGAATTCATGAAAAGCTTCGTTTTTCATGCAGCAGACATCGTCACATCAGAAAAAGATGCTTTACGAAGACTCGCCAAGCCCTAAGAAAAAGATCCTTTATGCTCGAACACGGCATTACACAAACGTTTTAACTGGGTCAAATCGCAGATTAAAATCCTAGGAGGATAAAAGGATAAATTTTATGGACATGCTTTTTTCATATCTTAATTAACAGAGGCATTAGGCGGTCTTAGTGAGTAGGCAAAGTACAGGAATCTTGTCTTTCAACAGGATTTACTGACAAGTTGCTACTCTAAAGCGAAAGAATTAGTTCTTTTATCATGATAATCAATAAACAATGTTTTCTAAATTAGAAAAATAACGTTAGCATCGGACAAGTGTAACAGACAAGTTTTAGTTTATTGCTTATATTGTATGAAAATATAAAGTTATTTAATAGATTAAAAGAAGAGAATGCGCACCATTTTATATACTCAGAAAACGAGAGTTTTATATATTTTAAGAGTAAAATAAAACTTTTAAGAGGATAAAGTGGCCAATGGTCTTTCACATGTAATGAAAAATAGTCTTAGGGCCACCTTATATTTAAATTGATAATAGTTGAGTAATGTGAAGAAGAAATAACCCATTCCAGGGGATTGTCTCCTCATTAATTTCGCATACCTCCTTTCAGAAACCGTATCCATGTGCTATCATCCAAATTAAGGTTTGTCTGATGATCAACAACAAATGCCTTATGAAGTGGGGCAAGACAATAGAAGCCTGAGGAGGTAACCAAAAGAGTTTGTTTTATGAGATAGTATAGCAAATTAATTTGAGTTTTTTTATTACTCAAATATAAGTGCAAGGAGTAGCTGAGAGTAAGGATGGATCGGAAACGACGTAGCGATAGGAACACTCTAAAAATGAAACATAGATAAGTGTAACTTACTGATAGACGAAGTGAAGAGAAAAAAGAGAGATAAACAACTTAAATTTTAGCAGTAAAAGTATAAAATGCTGGCAAGAATGCAATGCAGAAATTGAAATAAGCGAGCATAAATTGGCTAGAAAAAAGGATACAATTTTAGAATTACACAATTAAGTGATATAGGGAATTGGCAGAAAATAATGAGAATTAAGGTAAAAGTTCTCATCAAAATCAATGTAGCACCAGATTTATGGCACAAACTATAAATACAAATCATTATATATATATATATATATATGCCAAACGAGGACGAGGCTTATGCAATGGAGAAGGGCTGAAGAAAAAGCAATGACAGAACGATTAGCCAATCGAAAACGCAACGAGAGCAAAATAACTTGAAATGTATGAAAAGAAAGACTGAAACATAGATTCACTTTAGCTTTGTGAAATTTTGGAATGAAGGAATATGCATAACATACCTATCCGGGTGCTTGAAATGCACATTACAATATAAATGAAGAACTTCATTAAATAAATATCTAACTTGATATATATTACCAGAAGAAGCTTCATTAGCCATGTGCAAAATGCATTGATCGTAAAAGAAAGAGATGGAATAAGAAAGGTCTAGCGAATTGGCAATATAGCTTTGGTCTCTCTCTATTATATAAAATAGAAAAATAAAGAGGAAATAAATAAGAAAAGGAATACGAAACGACTAAGGAGAGAAGAAATAGGTAGATATTTAAAATGAATATATAGTGGTAAAACTACCCAGGGTATAAGTCGATAGGCTTAAGGAAGCTAGGAAAGCATGGGGCTGGGTAGGATACACTAAGAGAATGATAATCACAAAAAAGGTATCAAAACTGATTTCGGTGAAGAGAATGTAACTAAAAGTAGTTGCAGGTCGAACAGGGAATTATTCTAATCCCCATCCGGTTCGCCCGGATCAAAGCTAATCAATGGAGGCACATCATCAGTATCTTCGTCAAGCGTGGATTCTTTTAACACCTTTCGATTTAGGGAATCTTCTTGCCGACAGTGCTTGTCTACGGAGCACTTGGTCAGTCCATCTGATGCAGAAGCTGGAGGGAATCCATGAACGCCAACAGGTGCACCCAGACGCTCTAGACTTTCTTGCCGCGGAAGGGTCCGGCCCTGCCATTGCCGATGGATGCCAGAATCAGAGGGAGTAAGGCATTGAGGTGATGCGCCAAATTCATTCATCTTGGCTGTTGGCCGGACAAATGAGTGGCTAGTGAGATCAGCCGTCAAGGTGGCTGTTTGACCTGAGGGACCCTTAGAGTTTGGACTTTGTCTAGACTTGCTTAAGTTGCAAGAGTTGCTGGAGTTGTTTAAATTGCACTTGGTATCTACTTTGCGTTCAGCAACAGTAGTGGCTGGTCGGAAAGTGGGAACACCAGCGGGGGGACCTTTAAAGGCGCTGATAAGATTGCTATGGGATAATGCAGGTGGCTGAGTGGCAGGCCAGCTTGAATTGATGCTCAAACTAGCTGCGCGAACTTTTGTAGCCTGGAATAGTGTTCGCAAAGTGCTACTCAGGACGGAGTTGACCACCCGACTGGGAAAATAGCCCTAGTTTACCAAAAATAACGGGGCAAAATAAGATAAAACAATAAATGTGAGTGTAAAAGCTTGAATCTACTTATATTTCCATATTTCATATTGGAATGCATGGGATGAAAATTTAATCATATATGTATATTTTATACAAAAATAATCGATATTCGTCAAAATAATTCAGTATAAAAGGCCTGATTTCAAGCTTAACAAAAAAATGTCAATTCGAATAGTCAGAGGTAAGCGATTAAAACACGCTGAGAAAAGTAAGAAATTATAAGAGAAATTAAGATGACTGGAAAAAATCATAGCTTAAAATCGTGGGATCAAAAAGTAAGCTCAAATCTAAAGAAAAAATGTCGGCCCGATAAATATGGACGAGTGGAGAGATCGACCCAGCTAGATCTCACTAATTATTTTTCGCGATGTTAAGGTTGGTTTCTCATTGAAGTTGGAAAGGTACTTCAGCTTTGAGTGAGATGGCACTAATGGATGATGGAAAGATCAGATCCAACTGGCTAGGGTGTGGATGATCAATAGTAAGAGCGTGGAGAAAAACCTAAGCATGTGAGAAGGAAAGCTGATACAAAAGGCCTGTTGTGGGGCCTAGTCCTCTGTTCGATGAGGCCACCAAAAGCTGTGACAGACCATGATAAATAGTTAAACGTATATCTATGAATACCATTCTATGCTATCTTTTTGTCCAATGTCGTCTACAAGCGTGTCGCTACAAGTGAATTTTACGAAGTGTAATCACTTTCAACGGTTTCAGATGCCGTTTGCAGAACTTCTTACTTTCATTGAGCCCTCTTTTTCACTCCGCTTGTTAATTGCTCCTTGCTGCACATGAAAGTTTGGTGAAGAGATTCACCAAACACTTTTGCCCGAATTTGAAGTAAGCTCGACAATTATGTAGATATGAAGAGAAACTGGAATTCGGTGAATCTCTTGAGATAATGTTGTTAGGGGGCCTTTCATTTCGTATGAAAGCGAACGAAGAAGAGATTAGTTGGTCAATCTCACCAGATGAGGACAGATAAATCTCGGTATAATGCAGCCGTTTGGCTTTTATATGATATTCATGTTGACGCAGTCCACGAGACTTCTTCCTCGATTCGGGTTAAAACGTGCTGAGCTTTCGTCCATCATACGATGGACATCATTAGAGCTGGGTGTCATTCTTGTAAAAGTCAAACGTTAACACTAGGCCAAGAAGACTATCCAGCTTTATCTTAACTCTTATATAGACTTAGCTAAGCCAAAAGAGAATTAAAAATTGGTGTGGTTTAGTTAAAACTAGGCTCAAGGAAAGCATTACCAGGCTGCATGAACTAATTAGAACCCAAACTAAGCTTAGACAATCTCTCTCAGAACTATTGAATGAC